AAGAAGAAGAAGAAGAAGAAGAAGAAGAAGAAGAAGAAAGAGAGAGAGAGAGAGAGAGAGAGAGAGAGAGAGAGAGAGAGAGAGAGAGAGAGAAACACTGGGTCATAATATGTCGTTTCCAGATTTGGGCTGGAAAAATTTTTCTTTTCAAAATATGATTTGTCTAAGAGCACCCTCCCTACCCCACCCTACCTCTGTCTCTAGTCAAGGAGGAAGACACTCACTCCAAGGACACAGACAATTCCCCACGGGTGCAGGGATGTCTAACTTTTCAATTATCTTCTCAGAAGTAGGGCCAGTAACTTGGCTCTCCCGTCAGAACTCACAGGCCTCATAGACCCACTGAAGGATGGGTCTGCTCTGATGGATATATTATGTAGCAAGCAAAACAAAGAGCCTTTCTCTAAGGAATTTCATAATCACCGTGTCTTTTCTTCCCTTCTTGTAATATGTATAATTTGTCTTCCCTTGGAAAGGTACCCATAAATTTTAATGCAATTTACTTAAGAACAATAAGTGAAGTCAAAATTTGCTAATCACTTTTGTTTCCCAGGAGGAAGGGGAAAGTCTTAACTGCATGCTGAATGACTATCACGGGCACGGCAAGGCCCACAAAGGAGAATTGAACCAGAGATCCTCCAAAAGGAATGTCATCCCTAATTTGTCAGAGCCTTATGGCAATAAAAAAAAAATGTCTATGCAATAATGAGACAACACGCCCTTCAAACACCGAATAAAAGCTTTAGGTGGCATTGAAGCAGGAACAACTCAGGACTCTAGGATTAGAGAAATGACAGACAGACAGAAAGAAAGAAAGACAGACAAACACACACACACACACACACACACACACACACACACACACACACACAGAAGCATGTGCCCTGAGCAATGAAAGGAAACACTAGTCACAAGATTTCCGGAAAGGAAGGATATTAAGGACGTTGTCCAGTCTCCCATCTGATGCATTTTTTTCCCCTTTCTACAAGATGTTTGGCAAATGATTGGCCTCCCTTCCTGTTGTAGGTAGTATGAGGAAGAAACTGTGCTATTCAACATTGAAACAAGAGCTTGTCCCTCGGGCGACTATAAATCTTAGGTAGTGTTCAGTTTCCCTGCCAACCCGCTAAATAAGCTGGGGTTTTTTTTTTCTCAAGGTATGGACTGGAAAACAGAGGCTGTCCATCATTCTCTATCCACACTGCCCCTCCACCAGGCTCCGGGAGGCAGTGTGCTGCACAAGAGGCCCACTTTTCAATTTGAGGATCAATACAAGCTAAATAGGTGGTATTTCCAGCCCCAAGGGACAACCCAAATCAATGCATTTAATGCTTTCCCTCGGGGTTTCCCTGATGAAAGACCTGCAGGGTAGAAGAGGACAGACACATCATTGTGTGACAGAGACCAGAGATGAGCCTGAATCCAGAGGCTGTGGTGCCAACGCCACCCTCAGAAGGGGACCTGGAGTGCTCAGGGAGGGCCAGGTAACCCCAGGCCTGCTCAATGCTTGTTCTGTTCTTTGAAAGCATGGAGAGGAGAGGAGAGATTGGCTTCCAGGCAGAGCTGCCATGTGGCAGACAGTGACTGGGGTGGGAGGAGAGAGGCGCTGGAGGGGGTCGGGGTCGGGGTCGGGGAAGAGAGTAGGGATGGAGCGTAAGCTTGTTGGGGTGCCATGGTAGTCACACGGGGGAGCCCTTCTGGCTTAGGTAAAGCTGCCCACCCCTCACATGCCAGGTCACTTCCGAAGTGGTTATAGTGAAGAAAATATAAATTTGTTTCCCACGTTGAGATTGAAACACTTCCGCAGAGACCCATAATCTCCAGGAGAACCGTCGTCATCCATTCTAATCTAGACGAGCAGAGAGGAAGAGAGCGTGGAGAAAAAGGACCAGTTAAGAGAAGAGAGAGAGTGCCGGGCAGACTGAAAAGAGCTGTCTGAATTTGTTCTAGTAAATTATGACTGTCAAAGACTTAAAAAAAAGATCCTATGATCATCCAGGTAGAAAACAAAACAAAATAAGCTGCTCACGCAGACAAACAGCAGATTTCTCTTCTGAAACCTTAAATGCAACAATGTCACTCAATCATAGAACGGATGATAAATCTATATAATGGAAAATGATACAGCAGTAAAAATGAGTGTAGTCCCTGACAGGAGCCTGCTCAGGTGTGTGGTATACACAAAGTACCGAGCAAAGGGAGCATCATAAAAACGTCTATGAAAGATTAAGACACTCCCAGTTAAAGAACATATTGTTAAATGATACGCATGTAAGAGGTTAAAAAAAAAACTGTAACCCCAAATCAAGACCATATCACCTCAAAAATCAGTACAGCGGTTTTTAGGGGAGATGGAAAGGGAAGACAGTTGGAAGCAAGTTCCAAGTACAGGTGATATGTTACGTCTTGGTCTGGGTGGTGATTGTATGGGTACTTTTTAAAATAATTATTCTTTAAATTATACAAACGGGGGTTGGAGAGATGGCTCAGCAGTTAAGGACACTGGCTGCTCTTCCAGAGGTCCTGAGTTCAATTCCCAGCAACCACGTGGTGGCTCACAACCATCCATAATGAGATCCGATGCCTTCTTCTGACATGCAGGTATACATGCAGACAGGACAGTGTATACATAATAAATAAGACTTTTTTTAAAATTATACAAACGATCAGGCATAGTGGCACACACCTTTAACACGAACACTCAGAAGACAGAGGTAAGTGGATTTCTGTGAGTTCAAGACCAGCCCTTGTCTACATAACTGTTCCAGACCAGTCAGAGTGACACAGTGAGACCCTGTCTTGAAAAACGAAATAAGTAAAATAATAAACTACACAAATGCATGCCATAGGTCATTCCATACATATGATGCGTGTCACATGAAGACTGCTTTTAAAAGGCTGATGAGATGGCTTAGCAGATACAGGCACTTGTGGCCAAGGTTGTCAGCCTGAGTTTGAACCCTTGAATACAGAGAGAAGGAGAGAACCAAAACGCATCCTCTGACCTCTACACATGTGCCATGACATGCTTATACCCCTTCCCTCGTTCACACAATAAATAAGCAAATAAATGTAAGAGTTGGGGGTCTTGATTTGTTTTTGTTTTTCAAGACAGAGTTTCTCTGTGTCATCCTGGCTGTCATGGAACTCACTCTGTAGACCAGGCTGGCCCCAAATTCAGAGACCCACCTGCCTCTCTGCCTCCCGAGTGCTGACATTAAAGGTGTACACCACCACCACCCAGCTATAAGATCATTTTTTAATTCAAGTAGAAAATAGTGTCTATTATGGTTCTCCAGAGACATAGGCCAAGAGGATGTATACAGAAAAAAGGTGTACATGAAAAGGATTTCTTACAAGGGATTGGCTTGTACCATTGGGGAATCAGGGATGCCCCTAAAGCTGCCTTCTGTGGGTTAAAGTCCCAAGAAGATGTAGTTCTAACCAGGTCTCCCGAGTTTATCAGTCCCAATCTGCATCCAGACTGGAGAGAGCCAAGAACATGACTAAGGGCAGAAGAGGGGTGTGCTCACTCAAGAACCTGTGGCAAATTTGTCCTTTCGTCACCTTTGTGTTCTATCTGGGCCCTCAACACCCTGGGAAATAGCCCTACATTGGCAGGGAAATCTTTAAGCAGTTGACTAATTCAAAGGCTAGTCTCATCTGGAACCTCAACCTAGAGGTGGTATTTTGCCAGCTATCTGTGCAACTTTTTACCCAGCCAAATGACACATAAAATTAGTCACTGCCATATAAATTAACTTTCTAAGAAACTAAGGAACATATCAGTCAATGCAATAAAAAATGAATCATAGCAACAGTGAGAATTTAAGATTATGTACATTTAAGAAAAAAATTGACAAAGTACAAAAAGCTAAGAGAGGGGATTACAATAGACAAATCTTACTTTGAAATGAGATGCAAATTTTTCAATTATTTTTAAAAGGCAAATTAAATTAATAAGTATATTACTAGGGTACATTAGGTAGTGTTAAATATTGTTAAGATTTGTAATAAAAAGGCACATGTGGTTGAACATTAGAAAATCTTATTATAAAGCATTAAGTTTTGAGAAAAGCCACAGGATATCACTAGATATTGAAGTCACTTGATCTGATAAAATTCAACATGCATGACATATTAATAAAGCATCAGAGCATCAGCAAACCACAAAATGCACATATTTTGACAACGGAAAATGCTTACTTCACACTTAAAACTCAAATGCCAAGACATCCCTGCTAAAGCCAGGTATAATATAAAGATGCCAGCTAGCATGCATGACCTTTGTTAGAAAGCTTTTAGCCACATATAATAAGGCAAGAAAAGAGTATTGGGAAGTATACAAACTGAAAAGAAAAGACAAAATTGTCATTTGTGTGTGTGTGTGTGTGTGTGTGTGTGTGTGTGTGTGTGTGTGTGTGTGTAACTACTGGAAAACTCAGAACTAACTTCAAACTTTCCTAATTCTCATAATCCATCCAGTTGCA